GCATTGAATGAGCCATGACGTGATCGTTAGATTGAACGGTATTATCAAAATAACCCTGCAACGAGTATCGTAGCCACAATATGATTCACGCGATCATAATCGCAGCTTTACCGACTACTTGATGAATGCAAACTGTCGCATCAATCTTTCTCGATAGATGCGTTCAAATGCAATCCCTCACAAAAAGATTGAGAGAAAAAAATCTGAGAAACTGAGGGATAGTGCAAAAATTTAACAACAATGAAATATATTTTACGAATGTAAAATATAAATGTTTCTTTGTTTCAAAAAAAAGAAAAATCTAATTTACAATGAGAGAAAGAAAATTGTCTGCAAATTTCAATATTGATGAGAATAAAGCTTCCTTTTTTCTTTGTATGCAAAAATCTAAGAATAGTGAAATATGTTTTAAGAATGCTAATTTAATTCTGAAAAAAAAATTCTGAAAAAAATTAAAAAATTGTGATTTTTTATATTATCTGCAAAAAATGAGAATAAAGCTTCCTTCTTTCTTTCTATGTAAAAATCATTCTCAAATCTTTCCAAAAGTCTTTCTCAAAGAAAGAAAAATCTGCTTCACAATTAAAAAAAAAAAACAATGAGACTATAACTCCATATAGACAAGATCGAAGCTTCCCCTTTTCTGTGCCACTTAACAGAGGCTCCACTGCCTTACTTCCACATACCAATTTACCTTTCGTATTCATCAGTCACTCGTTAAACAACCCAAAAAATAAAACTAAAAAACACCGCTATAACTCTCGTTTCAGATGACGCAGAAGGAACATCACTTACGAAAGCTCCTCCTAATAACACTCCTAGCGACATGCGTGTCGATCGTCGTGTCATCGTCGAGCAGAGAAAGGCGGCACGTCGGCGTCGAGGAATCTAGTCATCGTCCCAGCAAAACGCCATCGTCCGGCCGCAGTTTCAAATCCTCGACCAGCAGAGACAACGTGATAACTACGGAAACCGGAAGAAAAGTGTCGCACAGATTAATCGGCGGTCACCTACGAGTTGACACCGGTCAAGACCGCGACGCGACGATAGAAACGCTATGGGACGACGGTATCCTCTTGTCATCCGCTGGCAACGGCAAAGAAACGAGAAACCATCGAAAAGACGAGGACGACGAGAAGAAAACGCTGTCTCAACAAGTAAAAGAAGGAAAATACGGTCTGATACAGAACGAAATCTACGGTAAACGACCTAAGAGGCCAGGTATAATCAGCTACCTAGGCAATCCAGAGGTACCGAAAGACACCATAGACAATCTAGGCGGTCTGGACGAGGATGAAATTTGGTTGGCAGAGAATCACGTGCTGGTATTGAGAGGCGGGAAATTTCCTGGCCATGAGACGTCGCAAGGCAGCGGAGACGGTTCTCAGACCTGGCCACCGATCGACAATTACAAAGCACCCCGTAGACAGGTCAAGATACCAGCCAGGCCAAAGGTACCGCCGCCGTTTCCGGTTCAGCTCGCGGAAGGTGGACCGATACAGATCATCGGGCCGAATGGGACGAAGGAAATCGGTAACGCCACAGTCGATTACCGCAAGGATCCGTTGTTCACCAAGGGGCTGCTATCAGCGGATGG